ATCGCCATCATCACCATCACCATCATCACTATCACCATCACTGTCATCACCATCATCACCATTACCATCATCACCATCATCCCATTACCATCATCACCATCCCCATCATCACCATCACCATCACAATCATCACCATCGCCATCATCACTATCACCATCACTATCATCACCATCACTATCATAACCATTACCATCATCACCATCATCCCATTACCATCATCACCATCACCATCATCACCATCACCATCATCACCATCACCATCACCATCATTACCATCATCAACATCACCACTGCTATCATCAGATGGTTTTATAGTTGAGATTTACCAAACCTTCAATAAGAGATCATTCGTTATTTAAACAATTTCAGACCTAAGAAAAAAATGTCATGTTTCTGAAGTCAACCTTATGAGGCTCTAATTACCTTGACATCAGAAAGGAACCAGGAGATCACAGAGTCCAAGAAAAGCCATCACAACTCTCTTATAAAAATGGATGAGAAAGATGGTGAACAAAAATTCAGCAGATGAGTGACTGTGTCCCTCTTCAGTCACAGGAATAAGAGCAAGAGCTCTCCATACTTCTGAGGTGTGGACTACCTCACTTTCCCCCCCGTCCACACTGTCTGGCTAGGTGAGAGGCTCTGAGATTATATGTTGGAGAGATAATGAGACTGGTGGCTTCTGACCAGAGACTAAGGACTGGAGTGATGTCTGAAAGAGGGATATTCTAGATAGGGGAGGTAAGAAGACATACGGTGCTTACCTCTACTAGACTGTAAGCAGCTCAAAAGAAGGATGACATCTTACTCATCTTTGTGTCATTACAGCCTAGCATGGGCCTGGCACATGAGACTATTCAACAATCTAGGTGTTTTTGGTATTCATACACCCTCCTAGCAGAGACTTATTGTTATTCATAAAATGTGAACAAATGTCATTATCAGGCCAGGTATTTGAAAGCACCATGAATCATGTCCAGAAGATACCTCAGAGACCAATACATCATTGGGTCAAGCTCAAGTGTTTGTCTGAAGATCTACTTTTGTAGATCTTGCTTGATGTGTGATCATCTCTTGTAATAGAGTAGGTACTTGAGAGAGGTAATTACAGCTGGTTTCTGATTTGCATCTGAGTCTTCCAGTCAATGTATCCAGATTTAGGGTGTTGCGCCTCTTCTCAGTACCAGTTCTTCTGTTTCTTCAGTATCTCTAGCCAACCTCATTGTCACCAGGTTCCAGTGTGGTCTCAGACACCACCTGATCTCTCCTCGGATGTTTCATTTGAATTTCATCTTTGATTATTCATTGTGGTTCAGCTCTTTTGATACCCTGAACACCTCTATCCTTGGATTAAATGAAGTTTTAAGAGGCTTTGAATTTTGTAATTATGTAAAGGACCTCTCAGAAATGCATACAATTCTTATAAATATTTTTATCTACCTGTAACCTGTCATTTGCAGAATCTGTATCTTAGTGGGCACATTTTTTGTGTCATCACAGGCAGCTTGCACGTTCATTGGCTTGTGCAAGAATGTGCAGGCCACAGTCCGTGAAACCTTCGGGGAATGTCAGTAAATATTTAGCTGCATCAGTTTTGAAGGAAGTTGAGTCTGGTTGGATTGCACTGGGGAGGGTGAGGACTCATTGTTTCCTAAGTGGACAGAAGTAAGGATGGGGCATGAGGTCTTCAAGGGCATCAGATGACGTCAGTGGCAGGGAAGAGGGCACCAGGGTGGACGCGGCCAAGTAGGGGCATGAAAGTGCTAGTTACATAAGTGAGTTATAAAAAGACTGTTTTTCTTTAAAATCAATTCTTACTGATGCTTGTAGGGCAACTTTAATGAGTCATAACAAGTTGATCAGACACAACTGTAGACACACTTTTCTACGGACATAGTTTTGGTTTGTTTTAGCTCCATTTTCATTTCTCAAAAAATTAGTGAGGATTGAAGTCCTCATTTAATTAGGTCCTAATTAAGCCAAAAATATTACTGATGGCTTTCAAGAATAATAGAAACTATCCCCACACTAACCTATTCCTTTTTGTTTCCTGGTAGAACGTCCATTCTCGGGATTTCCTTTGGAGCTGCATTTCTCTCGCTTGCCTTTATCCTTTTCGTCTGCTTTGCTGGACAGCTTTTGGTAGGTACTTCAAATACAGAACTTCTTTGAAAACTGTGCTCACTGAATGAAAATTGATTTCTTGCTTAACACAGGGAGCTTGGTGGTTTACCATTTCAAGAGATACAGATCTCAGTAAAGAAAGATGTAACCTTCATGTCAACAGCCCAGAATATAAAGTGAGGCAGCTCATGCACGACCAAGACTCTAATTTGAAGATTATTTGAGATGTTGGATGTCGCATCACAAAATTGTATTTATGTCTATTTATTTCTGTCAACATGTTTAATCATTTCTTCCAAGTTTTCAGGCTATTTATAACTGCAAGCATAAATAAATAGGAGGCTTTTAGTGTACAGAGGAGTTAAAATTTAAACCAAACATCGCTTTTATATCCACTTTTCAGATATAAAATTTTGGAACATATTACAATAGCAAATGTAAAAATATCTTTCATTAGTGTTTTGATTTAAGCCAATCATTGTAAGCACTTGTGGTTTAAATGCTAGTTCTAGATATAAGAATTAAATGTAAGTGTATTCTTGAGTCTAAAGCAGGTGCTACTGGCTGTTCCTAGCTCCATGAGAGCATCCTAAGAAAGCCAACAATGGGACAGAATTCCCAAAAGATAGTCGTTGTTTCATGTCGTTCATTGCAGATGAGTTGAAACAGGAGAGCCCGCTGTGAGCCAGGTTTTGCATGGAGCTCAGGGAAGTCTTCAGGAGATGCTTCAGAGATTTTTTTAATCAAAATTTTAATATTACAATAATTTGTTGTGCAAAATAAATAGGAATAATCTTTATACTATTTGTCAATGAATGCATTTTATATGACTTCTGAGGTTATAGGAAATTTATTTTTTTTATATTTTTGAAGTCATGATTTCGTCTTCCAGTTGAACTTTGACAAGCCCATTTAGATGACACGACCGAGGAAGCAGGCCGAGAGTTTGCGGTGCTCTCGTCACTTCTCAGGGTTCTGCTCTACCCATAACGTGCACCATGGCTTCTGTGAAAGCACTTTTCTCACTCTGCATGGTTTTACGCTTTTCATTTGTTTCTTCAGTGTAATGTCATTTTGCTTTTTAAAAGACATGCTGTTACTGCTAGCAACATCCGTACAGTACCATAACGGCCTCCTAAAATCCTTGTCCTCTCTTCAGAGGCTCTGAGAAGCAGTAGTCCTGGACTCCCAGGCCGTCTGTTGCATTCCAGTCTGATGTGTCGAAATCTTTTGGACAAAAAGAGTTTACAAAGTATGTCACTGCCTCTCGACAGTGGCTACTCTGCCTCCCCTGCTTTGTACCTTTGCAAACTTTTGAGGGTTTGGTTTGCTATGTCGTAGTTTAGATGTTTCAGATTGGATTGGAAACTTCCCAAAGTGAGACTATGGTTTATGACTTCCTTGAATGCACACCTGGCATCTCGAGTCACTTAACAGTCCCCTGAAGACAATGTAGGTTATAGAGAAGAGAGTAAATATGGAACCATGGGAATCATTGTCAAGTTCTAAATGCTTATTATACAAAGAAGCCTGATTTTCCATGTTCAGAGTTTCCTTGGGTTGAAAAGCACACAGGCTCCACCCTCTGTCTTCCTGGCCCCCTGGAGGCTTCTGCAGCCCTTTTCTCAGGTTTTTAGAAGAGGAAGTATCATTCGTGATTCCACTGGAAATCCAAACCTCAATCTAATTAAAGCAGCTTATATCACTGTGCCTAAGTAGCCATATTTCTCATCTTCTATTCCGAGGAATCCAGTCTTGGGGGTGGGGGAGCATAGTGTATATTTAGGGCTTCGAGCTGACTTTTTTCTTTCTACTGTAAAAGTTGCTTTGGAAAAGAAATACAGAGCCGGAGGCCAGAAAAAGAATCTCCAGAGCAACTCTGCTGTCTTGGAGGGAATGCTTTGCTCTTATGTAATGTCTCCGCTCTCAGCCTCCATATAATCCAACCTCATTGTTAAACATTTTATGCATTTTGGTGCCTCCTGTCCCCAGCCTGTGGTCCCTCAGAGCAATCAAGATGCGACATCCTTGGTGCCTGGTTCCGCCCATTCCCGGGGGCTTCCTAAGACCCTGACACCCACACACCAGATGCTAGGAAGTTCTTTTTAACTCTAGGTTGTCTCAAAAAGAAGATTTTGAGGCTGCAAATGAACTGGTGCCTGCCTCCTCCTGGAAAGAAGCCTATATTTTGCCAAAGTAGTCAGGAAGACTAAAAGACATCTGGTCTTTCCAAACTTGAATCAATAGGCTCTGTGAATGAGTCTCCCCCTAGTGGCCAGCTGTAATCCTTGGTCCAGATGTAAGCCTGGTAAAATTCAAGGAGGAATTCTTGTCATTCCAATCAGAGGTTCTTTTTACTGTTTAAACCATTCTGTAATGATTTTTTTTTAACTGTCAACATCAAACATATTAATTCAGAGCCAATCTAGAAGTCTTTAAGTGTGCTTTCTCTTCTAGCCTCCAAATTAACTCAAAAATTGTGTATATCACAAATATTCCACAGTGGTCTGGAGAAGTATTGCCACATCCTAACTGCTCATTCCCTGAGCTCTAGAAAACCTCCCAATTGCATGAGGTTTTATTATGGGTTGCATTTATTTATGGATTAAATACGGAATTTGTGAAAGGGTACTTAGTATCCCAGACTCACTTTCTATTAACATATGTTAACCTTCTGAAAATTTAAAAGCCAAAGGCAGTGTTGATGCTAATAATATCAGCATTAAATTCTCTGAATGAAGAATCAGAGGAAAATACTTTTATAAAGGAAGTTGGGAACAGGTAAGCCTGGCTGATACTTTTCTTCCAAGAGCTTTACCTTTTTACCTTCTGTTGCACAAATAGTGCAACACAAGTAAATAAAATTGTTTATTGTACATCTGGGTTTGATAAGAAGGTAGAGAAACATCAAAATGGGCAAAAATAAGAGTGATGATGACATACAATTTTTTTCCTGCTGATAAAAAAAATCAGAGATAGGGTCCGGCCTGGTGGCGTAGTAGTTAAGTTCACGTGCTCAACTTCGGCGGCCAGGGATTCGCATGTTTGGATCCCGGGTGCAGATCTACACACTGCTCATCAAGCCAGGCTGAGGCAGCGTCCCACAATAAAAAAAATGGAGGAAGATTGGCATAGATGTTAGCTCAGGGCCACTCTTCCTCACCAAAAAAAAAAAACAAAAAAAAAACATACAGATATTTGTTCAGTGACACGTTCTGAAAAAAATGTCAGGGCATTTATTTGTTATTATCATGATCATGATGAGAAGCCCAGACCACTCCACTATCTGCCCTTTAGCTTCCACCCCATGCCCTAGCTAGCAGCTCTCCCAGCCGTGCACCCCACCTGCCCCTCTGAGCCCACTTCTCAGTTCTTGCCCACGTGGGTGGGCTCTGCAACTGCTTACCTTCCTAGAAACTTTCTCAAAAACCCAGCAGCCCCTGTGGTGGGTCCTTTTTTGAGCACATGAAACTTAGGATTTTTGCCACGTAATTTGCACTTAATTAAATAACATCTCATTTGATTCCCTATTTGGTTTTTCTGGTGAGTGTAACTGTCGTTTTCTCTTATATATAGTGGTTTCCTTAAGACAAGAACTATTTCCTGCACTTGCTTTCTATCCCCCACTGAGTCCAGCAGAATGCTGACCACAGAAATATGTTTAATGAGCATGTGCTGAGTAAGTGCTACTGGACTTCTCCCATCACTTCCGTGAGGTTCTGTTTTTCTTTCTGCACTCATCTGGCTCCATGGAGCACCTCCCTTGTCTCATCAACACCGCCATTCTCATCAGAGGTAGGCGTGCCCTGCATGCCCTGTGTGCCCGTGTTAATCTTTCTTTCTCCAGATGCCGTCCTGTGGGTACAGGTTCTGTGTGTAAATGAATGCTTGAATGAGTGAGGGAATGGTGAGTCAGTGGCCTTCATCTTGCATTGAAATTCCTTCTCATGTGCACCATGGTTCCTTGACTCTGACGTGCTTCAGGCTGACTCCTTGGTTGGAAATAATCTAACCTTTGTAAAGCAACTGGGAAGAGCCCACCTTATCCACCACCAACTTCCCTAGTGCCTGCTGGTCAGGCTTCCTATTTTGTATTCTTATTTATATTCTTTTAGATGAAAAGATCATCAGTGAGGTCATCTCAGCCCTGTTTTGTTCATTGTAGTGCTTCAGGTTCTTGAAATGCAAGATAAATATTTAATATCAGTGAGCTTGAAGAAATGTTGGGTTGCACCCAAATGCAACCTCCTGGCCCCACTGCTCAGAAAACGTCCCACCCACCCCCATCCTAACCCACACTCGACTTCTTCCGAGCTCACAGCTCTGAATTCAGCTCACAGTCACCACAGCCCTGCTCCAGATTCTGTCCAGCTCCTGACCTGCCAGCACCCTGGCCCAGCATCCTGGTGTCCTCACTTGTTGCATCTTCTTAGGCACCTCTGCATCGATGCCCTCATGAGGTAGTTAGCTTTCTACAGCAGATGCTGGTTAGCATTCCAGAATTGTAAAACTCAAGAGCTGAAAGAGAACCCAGAGAGAACCCTGTCCAGCTCCGCATTTTGTGGATAGGGGACCCAGGACTCGGGAGATGCCATACGCTTCAGTGAGTTTACATGTCCAATCATTTAGAAGAAAAGTTTCCCTCCACAAAAAATAATGCATGATTTGTAAACAGATCTCCTGAGGGTGGAAATGGGGACTTTGGAGCAGGATCTTATGTAATAACTATAAGACCTGCACAGGTTTCCTGTCCTTGGGTAAGAACCTTCAGAATCAATGTAAACTACTTATGACGGGCAAGAGTCCCGTGAATAGTTCTGTATCCAACCTCATCACGGTTTACAAATAGTCAATATTATATTATATTAAAAATGATGACTTACTGTGCTAGGTATTTTATATATGCTGGCTCATTTATCCTTACAAGAGGTCTTGGAGGGAATGCTCATTCTACAGTTAATGAAACAGAAGCTCACAGACGCTGCATAACTTGCCCTGTAATGTACAGCAGGTAGGTT